GAAGAAGAAGAAGATAGAATTAAGATTTTGTTGGTTATGGCTGCCTTTTAGGTTTTGCGAACCCAGGCTCTTGGGTTTGCCTGGAGGTAAAAGAAAAAAAAGAGAAAAAAAGGCTGGACGAAGGAGAAGCCGGGGAAGAAGATGAGGGTATATCAGTAACTAAAAATAAAAAAATTTAGCATGTAATCAATTTTGCCACGTGGATTTTCCACGTAATTTAATAAAAAAAGGAATGAGTGTTTCCGTTAATTAACGTGCCACCTCAGCCAAAATTTAACGGAGGGACTAAAAAGGGGCCGGATTTGTGAACAGTAAGGACCAAAAAGGGGATTTTTTCGGTACAGGGATCAAAAAAGGGCTTTTTCTTATAGTAAAGGGACCAAAAAGGGTATTTAACCTATTTTAGAGAGATTGTGTGTCTACATGGAGTTCCAAAGACATCACTTCAGATAGAGATGTGAAGTTCATGAGTCATTTTTGGAGGACTTTATGGAGAAAGATGGGCACTCAACTCCAGTTTAGTTCTGCTAGCCATCCCCAAACCGATGGGCAAACTAAAGCTATCAATAAGATTTTGGGGAATCTACTACGAATTTTTGTGGGAAAGAATTTGCGACAATGGGATCTTGTGCTTGCCCAAGCTGAGTTTGCCTACAACAACTCTTCGAATCAAGCTACGGGAAAATGCCCATTTGAAGTAGTATATGGAGTGCGTCCTCTCAGTCCTTTAGATCTTGCTCCATTGCCCACATCCCGACAATTTAGTGCAGATGCTGAACAACGAGCCAAGGAGATCAAGAAACTTTATGAAGAAGTTCGTGAGAAGCTACAACGTCAAACCATTAGGTATAAGGCTCATCATGACAAGCATCGAAAGAAGGTTGTGTATAAAGAAGGAGATTGGGTTTGGATACACCTTCGAAAGGAAAGGTTTCCTAATCGACCTAATGTCAAACTCTCCCCTAGAGCAAATGGTCCTTTTTAGATAATGGAGAAAATCAATGAAAATGCCTACAAGATCAAACTTCCAGGTAACTATGGAGTCTCTGCTACTTTCAATGTAGCTGACCTATCTCCTTACTATGAGGATCATGAGCATTGAACTCAAACTCGAGGATGAGTTTTCTCCAACTAGGGGAGAATGCGCCGGGGGAAAGCACCAGGAAAGTGCACCAGGATTGCAAGTCAACAAATTTCGGACTACACTCTGCAGACTACAAATAGGCCAGTGCAATTTTGTCAAAAATGGCCACTAAATTCCACAAAGATGGCTAATTCCCAACTGCATTTTCACTTTTCATTTATTGCCTTATGTTAGATTTTGCCTATAAATAGCTATATTCCCTTCATTGTATGTATAAGTTTTAATCCAAAAATTTCAGTTTATAATTCTCCTCTGTTGAGTGAGTTTCTTGAGAGTGAGTTTCTTGAGAGTGGATTCTCTCAATTTGTCTCTGTATCTTAGGTCTTACCAACTTAAGTGGTGAACCTGGCAATCGAATTCATCGTAGTGGGATTTTTAATCTCGCCAAAATCGGTGTTTCGGTATCGGCTCCTACGCCAAAACCCCCAAGGATAAAAGCTCTTTTATACCCAAAATCCCAAAACCCATTCAACTTGATAGGGTTCTGCATCTACCATCTTCGGTTTCCTGTTCTTCCCTCCTGCAAAAGAAAAGAAACAAACACCTAAGAAGAATTATAACAAACACTATAATGCTAAAGAAACAAAAATTAAAATAAAAAAATTAAGGGTAAGAAGAAATTTTGGCACTTACTTTATGGTATAGGCAAACTATAATCAATATTGTGCGCAAATCTTTATTAAAAATAATAAAGCAGGGAGTTCTGTTATAAACATATTGATTGCCTTGGAGCTTCAGATTTTGACAATTGTGCTCTCATCTACTCATCTTTAATGAATTTCATTACCCAAACAAATAATCTTCATATATGTTATTTTAATAATTTGTTAAAAAGGGTTGATAATACGTTAGATTGTTAATTCTACGCCAAATTAAGAGAGGACATAATCCAACATTACATATTTGGGGACCTGTGTAAGAAAAACTTAATTAGGTTTGTTTATAATGGTAAGCTTCGCTTTGGCTAGCCCTTGTCCCATTAGAAGGAAGGAGCAAAAGAACCAGGTCTTACCACATTTCCAATAATGTGACAAACGCTTGCAATTCCTACACTACAATACATATGACATCAGAACAATAAAGCTGATGCAACTAATGAGCTTTCCATCAATGACTCTAAAATAACATGCACTGGACTTGGACTTGCTGAAATTGCTCAAGGGATCAACACTCTGAATAAGGTACCGACACTTTTGCTAAATTGTTGAACAAAAAATCCATGTTGGGTTTTGGTCTTTTAAGCAATTTTAGTTAATGGCAAAATAATAGAGCTGGTCTTTAACTTCTAGTTTCTACATAATTTAATTCTCATCTTTTTGATCTCTGTAGTTTGGTCCTAAAAGTTATGATTTCTTCCACTTAAATCCTTTCCTACACAAATAATGAAAAGGAAAATGATTTTAGGACAACCTTTTTGTATCACCTTTTAATATAACTTTTTTGTATCACCTTTTGGTATAACCTGACATATTATTTAAATGATTGATTTTTTTAATTTATGTGAGACTCGTGATATTGAATGCATCAACTCATTTAATGACATGTAGAAGTTGTATCAAAAGATGATATAAAAAGGTTGTTCTCATAGCACCACCCATAACGAAAATTTATAAAATTCATCTAAATATCAATGATATCAAGATAAAGATTCCAAATTAATATCTATAAAATTTCAACCTATCCATAAAATTAGAAACTAAAAAGAGAAAGAAATATTTGAAAAAAGGTTTATCACTTTCTTATTTTCATTGTATATACAAAGGATTTATATGAATTCCAAATTACTATTTATAAAATTAGAAACTGAAAAGATTCCAAATTAATATCTATAAAATTAGAAACTGAAAAGATATAGAATTAATATCTATAAAATTAGAAACTGAAAAGATATAGAATTATTTGAATAAAAGTTTATTATTTTCTTATTTTCATTGTATATACAAAAAATTTATATATAAATTTATATAATAAGATATTCTTAAATATAAAATCAATTAATTTAAAATTTTAAATAAATATAATCAATTATAATATAAACAGACTATGAATGTTAATATTCTAAGAAAAAGCCATCCCCGTGTCAATTTCTATCGGAAATAAGTGGTTTTTGAGTGTTTCTCTGAAAGAAGGGGGGGGACCAATGACACTTCGTCTTGCCCCTCTTACCCTACCCCACGAAAATTAAAGCTCAATGACTAAGACTTTGCCCCACAACAAAAGGCAATGATTTGTGATTTTTTTAATCTGAAGCTGATGTGTTGATTCTGTTGAATGTAATTGGGGTTTTTATTGTAACTATTAGTTAAGCTTTTTGGTTTGGTTGGCATGATAAATGAAGCATCACCAAGACTCGAACCTTGAAAGGTTAGAAACCAAACACAAGTGGTAACAATGATACATACACCATGCATAATTACACATTTCGTTACATGTTGATGGAAATCATCAACGTGTAACGGAAACTATCAGTTTTAATAGTATAAATAATGAAAATTATCAATTTTAACGATACAAATAATGAAAACTATCAGTGTGTAACTTTACAGAATATATAGATCATTTCTCGATAGTAACAAAAAAGTTATAGATATAATATTATGCAGCTCATTGTAACCTTAGTATTATTGTATAATTTACTATATTTGTTTAAAGAGTCATACATGATATTATATTCATGTACTCATTTAATATCATATTATTATTTTAAATTTACAATATTCCTAGACATTATAACCACACATTTCTCGTTGTTATACATCATGTATTTCTAAACGTTTATCAAAAGATCTTTGTCTTTAGCATTCGTCTTCCAACCTGTGGGTGTGGATGATGAACGGTAACCATAACTAAAACGCCCACCTCATTTGACTTTTTAGCATGCATTAATATATAATCAAGTCACATGTAACCTAAGCATTGAAATTTGCAGTCCATTTTGGCTTTTCTCATGTTGTTAGTTGAAACGTCAAAATTTCTATTCCACAACCTACTTATTTTTCTCTTAAATATTTAGACAGAATCCCTAATACTGTATCCTCCTAAACCAAACATCTTCCTCTTGGCAGCTCATCTGTCTCTTCTTCTTTGAAAAAGAAGAAAAAAAAAAAAAATGCAGCAACCCAGAAAAAGATGCGTGATGATATTGTTGTGGGCGATCATATGGGTGTTTTTGTTAATGGAAGATGGAGCTAATTCAGATTCGGAGCTCAATCTGCTCAACTCAATTTGCGCACAAGACAACGTCACCAACTTTCAGGACTTCAGCAGAAACCTAAACGCCACGTTCCTCAAACTCCGGGAGGAGATCGTCAGCGGTAACTACTTCGCCACGGCCGATCAGGCGGCCGGTTCCAGCCCCACCTATTCCATGGTGCAGTGCAGGAAGTACCTCTCCCCTACTGACTGCTTGGCTTGCTTTAACGCTGCTTTGACTACAATCCGGAACTGCTCTGCCGCCTACGGGGCAGACGTCATCTACGACGGATGCCTCCTTAGGTACTGATAAGAACTTTGCGGATGTCATTCATATTTTTTTCACTTCAATTTAAGTGGGGCCACGTAGCTTCAAGTGGGTAAGAAAAGAATTACTTTTGCCTATTCTTCTCTATTATTTAAAATTGTATTTATTACTCATTTAATTTATTTTTAATAAATTTAATTTGATTTTTTATTTTTAAAATATAAATTTTAGATATAAATTTAACAAT